GACTGTCCAGGTAGTGAGATGTCTCTGTCAATTCTAGAATTTGGAAGTTGCTTACAATGCACTTCCTATTTACTTATGTAACCTTATATCCTGCTGGAGTCTTTGATGGAGTTGAAGATTTTATAGTTATAATTATGGTTTTCCTTAATTATGATAAAAGATAAAGTAGATATAAACATTATAACTGTAGTTCTTGCTTGATATATGTAGTTTTGCTATGTTAAGGTTAAAAACTTTCTGTTTAAACAAAAAAAGGGGAAATGGGGTAGAAGGTCCTTCTGTCTATGAGCTGCTTTTACTGGTTAATGAATAAAGAAATTGGTTTGGCCTATAGCAAGGTAGAAGGAAGACAGAGTCAAGGAGAAGCCATGCAGTTGCCACAGGAGACAGATACTAGGAACTTTACCCAGTTAGCCATAGCTACATGGCAATATACAGATTAATAGAAATAGGTTAAATTAATATGTAAGAGTAAGCCAATAAGAAGCTAGAACTAATGGACCAAGCAGTGATTTAATTAATAGAGTTTCTATATGGTTATTTCAGTTCAGGGCAGCTGGGATGAACGAAAGGCCTCCCCGGTACAGTTAACAGAAGGTACAAACAGATCCCTCACAGAAGACGAATGCCAAGGGGTAGGCAGATAAATAGATTTCCTTAATATGAATGTGAAATGTAATCCATGGCTTGTGTGAATAAATTATTGGTTCTCTACTTCTAGACTGGTCTTGGCAAGGCAATGGGCCCTTTCTGTGGAAGCATACCTGGATAAGGTGGGGATAGACCTTTTTTTATGGTTTGAATTTCTTTTTTTTTTAATTTATTCTTGGGGATAGACCTTTAAGGCTCTAGTCTGGTCTTTTTCTTGCCTAAGCTCTATAATGCCTGGTTGGTGTGGTTTGACTATCACCTCATCTTCCTGTTGCCAGAGACAGGAGCTGGTCCTGAGTCCATGCTGTTCCTGCTGTAATGGACTATATCTTCTCCCTAGTGATCTCAGGGCAATTCTCCATCTCAAGTTACTTCTGTTTTGTCAAGTATTTGGTCACAGTGACAAAGAGACAGAGATAGATGATTGATGATAGATAGATAGTTGATAGATGAAAGATAGATAAATAGATAGATGAGGTGTAGATAATAGATTATAAGTAGATATATGGTAGGTTATAGAGAAATGATATGTGATTTTTAAATCAAAGGTAGATGACAGATAATAGGTATACCAAATAATATACAATAGAAGTTATGAAAGTTATATAGTATATAAATAGAAGACCAGTGATAAATTGATGAAAACATGCATGCTAGACTACATAAAAGTGATAGAGATGGATAGAAGATAGATTACAAACTGATTGGAAGATATACCAGAGAGATATTAAATGATAAACAATATATATTATGAATAGAAAATAGACAAATGATGAGTACATAGATGATAGAAGACTAATAGGTGGTGGATAGATGATAGACAAGAAAATATAGATGATAAATACAAAGACATTCAAAAGTGTATCAATCAATCAATAGAAAATTATGGCATACTGATAAACAAGAGACAGACAAATCATAGGCTAATACCCACATATTAATGAAAACACTATCGACTATGCTAGAATCAGGTAAATGCATATTTTTCTTCCTCTTCTTTGGATTTTTGAGATAAGAGATTCTCTGGGTAGCCTTGGCTGTCCTAGAACTCACTCTGCAGACCAGGCTGGCCTTGAATTCACAGAGATCTGCCATCCTCTGACTCCTGAGTGCTGGGATTAATGGTGCGCACCACCATCCACCTTTGGTAAAAGAATATTAAAGCAATGTGATGGAGTTACTACTTTTTCTATTAATAAAAATTTAAAAGTCCAGGGGAGTCTAAGTCTTTGCAAAGCTGTGAGGAACCAGGCACTAAACCATACGGTTGGTAGGAGTGTGATTAATGAACCCCCTACCCACTAAAGATACATCCTTCAGTGTCTAGGACAGATTGAGACCAATCTAGAACTGCCCTGGAATTCAATTACACTCATACATGTAGATCCTTAATCTATAGGAAATCACACAGTTGTGCAAGAGGAGACAAACCAGGAATGCCTATCACTGTGTTTAATATAAAAATACAAAACATTTAGAACTCAGCAATGATGAAAATGCAGAAATTAGCGCCAGCTTCATACCAACAGATTTCTAAAGCATAATGGTAGTGACGTGAGATATAGCCTCACATGTAGAGATAAGAACACGCATACAAGAAGGATGGAGGAGGATCCAGAGCAGGGAGAACGGGTAAAAGGCGGGGAGAGAAATGAAAGGCAACGCTTTATGACCAACTCACATTTTACTATCTCACCTTATAAGTCACAGCAGGTGCCACCCATGTGACAGGGACATGCTCACACACAGTTTGGCTGTGGCTCTCTGACTTTTTCTACAGCCTGAAATAGTTTACAATTTAAGAAATATGCATTTAGCTGTGTGGTGGTGGGACATGCCCTTAATCCCAGGACACAGGAGGACCTCTCTGAATTTGAGACCAGCCTGATCTACAAGAGCTGGTTCTAAGACAGGCACCAAAGCTACAGAGAGACAGTGTCTCAAAAATAAAACAAAAAAATAAAAGAAAGGAAGGAAGAAAGGAAGGAAGGATGAAAGGAAGGAAGGAAAGAAAAGAAATTCCTACCTAAGCTGAGTAGCCTTGAAAACATATTATGATAAAATAACATGAAAAGCAATCTGGAAATCATGTTTATTCACACCACTTGATCCCTCTCACTCCCCTTTCATCATACCCTGGGACAACAAAAAAGTAGATTGTGATACAGAGAATCCAACTGAAACTCTGAGAAGAATTTGAATAAAATCCAAATAAGAAAGAGGCAATAAGGAATAATCAAGGTAACTTGTACCTACAGAGGCAGCCAAGCAGGTGACCCTGCCCATGTTAACAATAATGACAGCCCAGTCAGTCTGGAAGAAAGGACTCCCAGAAGTGAATCAACGGGGAGCCTGATAAATGTACTGCTCCCCAGAGAAATTGGGAATGCTCAGTCAGCAAAACATAATGGACATAGAAAATTACCAGAGACCCAGAAGATTAACAGGGAACTTGCATAGCTAACACATGGCAATTAACACACCCCCAGGGAACAGAGAAATGAGGTCTTGCAAGAGAGAGAACAGACAGCCTTGAACAGTGACACAGGGAAGGGAGTTTAGACAGAGAGAACAAGCTACATGGAAGAGAGCCCAAACCTGAGTCAGCACACTCGCCACTGTGCCCCAAAGTCTGTCCTCTCTTCTGCTAGTCTACTGAGCCCCAAATATATATCTTATACTAACTGGAAACTATTCTTAAGACCAAGTTATTTTATAATTTGAGAAGCTTTTTTTATTTCTTTCCATAACCAAGCAAAACTCAGCAGAGAACTTAGAAAACAAGAGGCAATGCTGCAATAATCCTTGTCGCTGGTGTCACAAGGAATGATGGGACCATATCATCCTCATGTGCACCCAGAGAAATAATAATATCAGCCTCTGTGGTGTCAATGGATAGAACTGAGGTACAGGGTTGAATTAATGTGCCCGAGTTCCTCTGTCTCCATGAGTACATAGGGAATGAGGAAGTGATCAACGACATTTTTAGCCCTGTTTAGTCCGAAATGACTTCTAGCTCTTACTGAGGATGTGGGATGATTTTCAAAATCAGATATAAAAAGTCTGGATGACAACTTTACCAAGTGAATATCATTACATATCATTCTGAGCCCCTGAGTTTGGTTTTCAACTCATTATAATGCTATTTTTATCAGGTCCAAAAGAAACTAGGAACAAATGGCTGTCTGTGATGCCTATTAGCAATGGAAAGCACAAGCTGACCTCCAAGCTCACTCAGTTTCTGTGGCTCCTCTCAGCTCTGCTAACCCTGTCCCTAAACCTCTCCAGCTCAGGGGACCCCTTCCCCAGCTTCTCCTTCCTCTATAACCCTGCCATTTCATCCACGTGCCCCTTTGACCTCTTGTTTTGGTTCTTTCCTCTTCTCTTCTCTTCTCTTCTCTTCTCTTCTCTTCTCTTCTCTTCTCTTCTCTTCTCTTCTCTTCTCTTCTCTTCCCTTCCCTTCCCTTCCCTTCCCTCTCCTCCCTTCCCCTTCCCTCCCCTCCCTCTCTCCCCTCCTTTACCCCCTCCCATCCCCTCCCCTCCTCTCCTGTTTTTTCCTCTCCTCTCCTTTCCTCTCCCCACTCCCCTCTTCTTTCAGTTCAGTCTACTACTCCATGTCCCTGCTCTGGACTCTTCCAGGTGCCTCTTACTGTTTACCCCTCATGCTTACAATAAGAACCTTCCCCTCAGCCATATTTTGAAGCAGCCATGTTGTTGCTTGATATAATTTTGTGAAAAGTTCTGTTATTGTCTTACCATATCTGGGTCTGCAGGTTCTTTCTGTACTTGGTGCAGATTACAGATGGCTATGAAGTTTGGAAAACCCAGTGGAAATTTCACTAGATGGCCAATGACAAGCACAGGTCTGCTTATATTATAAAGGACCCTTCTTTCCCAGAGCAAGTGTGCTCTCTGAAAATCCCTCATTCAGGCTGAGTTATAAGGGCTGTGACAAGCTCAGATTTTTCTCAGCATTGGATGGAGTGTTTTTATCTCTATATTGAAATTATAATGAGCCATGGTTTATCTGGTATGTCAACGTGGCCTCTAGACCACATAGATCTGGTCTGGAACAACACCACCCCACCCTCCCTTAGTTGGACGGTGGAACATATGAACTACCTTAATAACTAGCAGCCAAGGACTGTGGTTTCCAGAGACCAGGGTTCAACCTATACACCTAGCAGGACAGCTGGTCATCAGTTATTTCAAATTCAGTCTGGGACACTCAGTCTCATGGTCCTGGTTTTAAACTGAGATTAGGTAACTTTACCAAAACCTCGATCATCCATCCTACCCACCCTTTCACTCCGCAGCTTCAGACATGGGCTCAGATAATTCCCTCTTACCAGAAGATAAGGGAAGTGTTGTCCAAACCTTTGTGAGGCCAGTCACAAAGTCTGATGGAGCACAATCCCCAAGTCTGAGATCAGGAAAAATGGAAAGTTCCCTTGCTAGTCATGTGTTTCCCTGATGGCAGGGAAGTGAGCAGAGACAAGCAATAGGGATCAGGAAAAAAGCCAGCTGGGTACTGGAGGCCACTCCCCAACTCCCATCCCCACCCTAATCACCCTCAACCCCACCCAACCCCTACACTTACACCACACACACACACACACACACACACACACACACACACACACACACTCAGCTCACCCAACCCAGGGTGGGACAATGACAGTGCAGTTAGTTCCTGGTAGCTGATACTTAGAGTCAGGAAAAGGACACAATAGCTCTGTCAGGCTTAATGAATGATCACTTCCTGTTCAGTCAACTTATTTATCTGGGGACAGAAGATACCAGGCAGCTATTGAAGGACACAGAAATCAGGAGTGACTCTCAGGACCAGAAAACCCAGGAGAAATAGGAAATGATGCCCAGCTAAATAGGCAAACAAGACAGATGGCTAGTTACTGAGCTCAGAGTTCAGGGCCACATCCAGGAGAGCAGAGACTGCCTCTGTAAGCCCTTCTCTGCACTGACCTAACCTTTCCTGACCACTGCCTGTAACCAGCAAGTGGGAACAGAAGGAGGAGAGCCCAGCTGAAAAGAGACTCCCCAGCATGTCAGAACACCTGGCCTCATCTCATAAAGTCCAGTCTCATAGATGCCCATTGTTTATTCAGAGCACCTGCCCACAACCCACAAAAGAAGGAAAATCTGCTGAGAGGAACGTTCATATAGGAAGAACTGTCTGGGTCAAGCTGGGGGTGGGGAGGAGGGAGAAAGATCTGCTCCCCAAGATCAATTCTGGGACTTGATGCCAACAACCTCACCCTGAGCTTCTTGCTCAGAATTAGACTTTCTTTATGAAAAAAAAAGGTTTTATTTATTTTATTTTTTTTAGGATTTCTCAATATTTAATGAATAATTTATGTTATGTTTCCTGAGAGAGAGCAAGATTGTAATATAGAGCAGTTTTCAACTTTGGCCATTAAGTATAACTATTGAGGAATTCTTTTTATTTTGTTTTTGTTTCTAATCTTCAATTTCTTAATTTTCTATTGTATTTATTGAGCTTTATATTTTCTCTACTCTCCTTTCTTTCTCTGAACACCCCTTCTTACCCTCTCCCATAGTACCCAATGTTCCCAATTTACTCAGGAGATCTTGTCTTTTAAATATCCCATGTAATTTAGATCCAGGTATGTCTCTCTTAGGGTCTTCATTGTCTAGGTTCTCTGTGAGACTGTGAATTTTAGCCTGGTTTTTTTTCTTTTTGCTTTATGTCTAACAGTCACTTATGAGTGAGTGAATATAATAATTGTCATTCTGTGTCTGTGTTACCTCACTCAATATGATGTTTTATAGATCCATCCATTTGCCGACAAATTTCGAGATGTCATTTTTTTCTGCTGTGTAGTACTCCATTGTGAAAATGTACCACATTTCTATATCCATTCTTCACTCAAGGAACATTTAGGTTGTTTCCAGGTTTTGGATATGACAAACAATGCTGCAAAAAACATAGTTGAGCACATGTCCTTGTGGTACAATTGACAGTCCTTTGGGTATATACCCAAAAGTGCTTGGTATTGCTGGGTCTTGAGGAAGGTTGTTTCCTAATATTCTGAAAAATTGCCATATAGATATCCAAAGGGGCTGTATCAGTTTGCACTCACACCAGTAATACAGGTGTGTTCCATTTACCCACAACATTTCCAGCATAAGTTGTCATCAGTGTTTTTGATTGTGGCCACTCTTATAGCTGTAAGATAGAGTCTCAGAGTTGTTTTGATTTGCTTTTCTCAGATGACTAAGATATTTAGCATTTCTTAAGTGTCTTTCAGCCATTTTAGATTCCTCTGTTGAGAGTTCCCTGTTTCGGTCTGAACCCCATGTTTTATTGGATTATTTGTGGGTTTTTTGATGACCAATTTCTTGAGTTCTTTGTATTGGAGATTAGCCCTCTGTCTGATGTGGGGTTGATGAAAATCTTTTCCCATTCCACTGGACAGGTCTGCCAGACAGAAAATTAATAGAGAAATAAGGGAACTAACAGATGTTATGACTCATATGAGCTTAACCGACATATACAGACTTCCATTTTTAGTTTGCCTTTCAGATGCCTTAGTGCAGTCCAGAGAAATCTCCTCTTCAAAGGACTCCAATCTATACCCATCCAAGTCATACTGACTTGATGGATTCAAAGTCAACTGATCTTGAGCTTTAATTTCATCCAGAACATCTGTTTTGCCATGCAATGTGGCATAGCTACAGCTGTGCTGTCTCACCCAATTCTGTCCTGGAGATAAGAGCAGAAAATCCTACGCAACTATAGCAGAATTCCATGTATCACATTATGAAGCCAGCCATCATCCATCCCCAAATTATCTAGTTTTGTATTATTAACTTGGGCTTCCTGAACAAATATCTTCTATGTCAGCTTAAATATCAGGCAATTCTGGAAATCTAGGGCAAAGTGTTGGTCAAGTCAGTTCCTTGTAAAAACATTTGTCTTCTTATACAAAGAGATATTTTCTTATCCTCTATTTTGTATCTTCTGTGGCAGAGAGACCATCAGTCTAATCTCCTGACATACATGTGTTGAACCATCCATAAGGGTAGAACTCTTGTGGACTAATGTGTTACCTCTCAAATCATCAAGCCCATCCATAGGGTGGAACTCTCATGGACTACTGAGAGTACTTTCTCTCTAGAGAAAGCACAAGCAAATGGATACCCAGTGACTCCTACTCACGTGTGAGCAGCATGGGCTTCTGGGGACAGGCTAGAGTGAACTGGCTGGTTGGATGCAGGAGCATGTTGAACCAGGGAAAAGGATGCTAAATGTAGTGAGTTCAGAGTCAAAAGAGTCCAGGCAATGCTTGGCCTGATGTGTACTGTTATATACCCTAAATTACCATGTTGGAACCTATTTCTCCATGTGTCTTGTTTAGAGGCTTTTTTAGGGATTCTATTGCTGTGAAGAGACACCATGACCATGGCAACTCTTACAGAGGGAAACATTTAATTGGGTTTGCTTACAGTTCAGGATTTTAGTCCATTATTTTCATGGTAGATTGAATGTAGGCAGACACAATGTTGGAAAGGTAGCCGAGAGTTATACATCTTGATTGTAGCCAGTAGAAGGAGACTGTGTGTCACAATGGGTGTAGCCTGAGCCTCTGAGACCTCAAAGCCCACTATCACAATGACACACTTCCTACAAGAAGGCCACACCTACTCCAACAAACCTATACCTCCTAACAGTGCCATTCTATATGGGTCAAGCATTTAAACACATGAGTCTGTGAGGGCTGTACCTATTCAAACCACTACATAGGGATTTTGAGAGGTAATGGATTAGCCTTTAAATTACCCATCCACATGGGCATGGCTTCTTAGACTATAAATGCCAATGTAAAGCATGTGTGCATTTCCTCTCTCTTCTTTTTTTTTTTGGTTTTCTGGTTGATTTATTTATTTTTTTAAAATTTATTTATTTATTAAGGATTTCTGCCTCCTCCCCGCCACCGCCTCCCATTTCCCTCCCCCTCCCTCGATCAAGTCCCTCTCCCTCATCAGCTCGAAGAGCAAACAGGGTTCCCTGACCTGTGGGAAGTCCAAGGACCGCCCACCTCCATCCAGGTTTAGTAAGGTGAGCATCCAAACTGCCTAGGCTTCCCCAAAGCCAGTATGTGCAGTAGGATCAAAAACCCATTGCCATTGTTCTTGAGTTCTCAGTAGTCCTCATTGTCCGCTATGTTCAGCAAGTCCGGTTTTATCCCATGCTTTTTCAGACGCAGCATTGTTTGTAATAGCCAGAACCTGGAAACAACCTAGATGCCCTTCAATGGAAGAATGGATGAAGAAAGTATGGAATATATACATATACTCAGCAGTAAATACAAGGACTTCTTGAATTTTGCATACAAATGTATGGAAATAGAAAACACTATCCTGAGTGAGGTAAGCCAGACCCAAAAAGAGGAACATGGGATGTACTCACTCATATTTGGTTTCTAGCCATAAATAAAGGACATTGAGCTTATAGTTCATGTTCCTAGAGAAGCTAAATAAGAAGGTGAATCCAAAGACAAACACATAGGCATCCTCATGAATATTAACCTTCATCAGGTGATGAAAGGAGACAGACAGAGACCCACATTGGAGCACCGGACAGAAATCTCAAGGTCCAAATCAGGAGCAGAAGGAGAGGGAGCACGAGCAAGGAACTCAGGACCGTGAGGGGTACACCCACACACTTCCTCTCTCTTCTGACTGCCTGGTTCAGTTCCTATTCCCCATTTGTGCAGAGGACTGTAATCTGTGAGTCTACCCATAAGTAAATAACCCACTATTATACTCCATTCTTAGCTAGTTTGGGATTTTTTTTTTTGATTTTTCGAGACAGGGTTTCTCCGTAGCTTTTTTTGGTTCCTGTCCTGGAACTAGCTCTTGTAGTCCAGGCTGGCCTCGAACTCACAGAGATCAGCCTGCCTCTGCCTCCCGAATGCTGGGATTAAAGGCGTGCGCCATCACTGCCCGGCCTGGGATTATTTTAGTGTCCATCTTCATCTGGGGCCCACATGGATCCCAACTCAACACCTACCAGGTGGAAAGATCTAAAAGGTCCAAATGGCCCACAGCCCAGAATGTCTCCTACTCCTTCCAACATAAATTACTAAGAAGCTTTTTTTTAAAAAAAAAAAAAACCCAACACAGTGGAGCTCAGTGCACATGACAACTTGGAAATTTCCCAAGCATGCGCACATTACCCCCAACCATTTCCACATACCCTGCCATGCCGCTACATGCACAGCTTCCAGTTTGTGCTCCCTGCTCCTGAGTTCTGGTCTCCTTGCTAGGTATACTAAAATGATTTAATTACTTTTAATTTGTCAAGCAAAGAATATTTGTCAGTATTTAACAAGCACCAAGACAGAAAACCAAAGCAGTGCAGATCTGTTCCTGGTACCACCAGTTGTGCACCACTGCTCGCAACTCTGCAACCACGACAACTACT